AATAAGTCAATTTCTACTATAATATTAAGGAAGTATAGATCTAAATCTTGAATGACTCTCAAACAAACAAGAACCCAAAAGATAACAAAAACTCATTTGTGTTATTAAGGCGGATACAGAATGCTATAATAATAATAGCCGTATTTTTATTTCTTATTTAATCTTAATAATGTTGTTGTTATCGATCCAGAATCTTAATAATCAAAAGCTATTAAAGCTAGAGAAAGAACAAAAAGTCCTCTCATCTTCAAAAATAGCTCAACAAATTAGTCCATATTTTAAATTGAGAATGTATAGCTTTCCAATCTTATGCTAAAAATAAAAAGATGAACAATAGCTAAGAAGTTAGAGAACAAGTTGGGACAACACCATGCATGAAATACTTTGAAAAACAACGCATTAAATGGCCCATGTGGGCCAATAAGCCCCAGCTTATTTGCAGATGTGGGGCCAATAAGAGCAGCCGGTGAGAATAGCCAAAAGGCTCGCCTGCACTAATAGAGGTGGCCAAAACTTAAATGTATTTTCTCAATGCTGTTTGTTGTTATTGATTTTGTTAACGTTGTTTTGTGGTAGATCGGTTTTTTGTGTGTTATTTGACTTGTGATGGTTGTTTGAAAGAAGGCCGTCTATAGTCTGAATAACATTTTTTCATATTCGAACTCGAGTCCGAATAACATTTTTTCATATTCGGACTCGAGTCCGAACAAAAAAAAATCATACATTCTGACCCGAGTCCGAATATGAACAAATGTTATTTGGACTCGGTTCCGGAAAAAAGGAAGTGTCTTCGTTCTATAGATATCTAACGTTCAGTGCTTCCAATTTTCCATCATTTTTTAGTTTCCCCCAAACCTTATCTGGCGATCTGATGCCCGCCGCCTCATTGATACGCCCGCCCCCCCACCCACCCCCCATGTTTCCCACTTTCTTTGTTGTAGAAAAAGGTAAAATTGAAGATTAGCAGACCACCTGGCACCTCTGTATATTACGAGCTGTGTAAAAAAAAAAAAGACCGACTCGTTCAAATACACAAGCCTGTGTCATCTTGATTGTTTACGAAGAAAAAGTTGTGTTGCTGTGTAGAGCCGCGCACAATTCATTACGTAGATCTACGTCAAGATTAGCTTATTATTGTAATAATGATCAGTTGCCGGGGGAAAAAAGACTGACGCGTATGCGACGTTCAACGCCCGGACCGCTTGTGTGCCCCCCACCCCCACCCCTCCCCGACACGCACACACAGCCACACGTGTGCAGGCCGCCCATCCGACCCCGACACATGCTAACGAGCCATCTTTAATTACTTCTGATGACCTCTTGACAAAAATAAACATTTATTAGAAGCGCTCTATAATAACTTTTCAGGCCGGCCTCAAATTCATCATAAGATAAAAACTCGGCTCCTGCACAAAACGTCATTCGCCCGAAGTGATCCCGGTCTTTACCCAGCCTGAGGCGAGTCACGAGTGAGGCAGGACAGGAAGCCGGAGTCACGAGTCAGAAGTGATGTCATGCTGGACAAGAATCAGAGTCCGAATATCATTTTTCGGACTCGAGTCCGAATAATCACTTCGTTGAAAGAACGGGTTTGACTCTCACTTTTAGATAATTTCAACACTGACCTCCTAACGCTACCAAGCCCTTCTGCCAAGCTCCCGAGTGAATAAAATTATTATCTAGATTAGATCTAGAATCTAGATTAGATCTATAAATCTAGATAATATTTATCTAGATCTAGATTAGATCTCTAGCTCTAGGATCTAATATCTAGATCTAGATTCTAGAGATCTAGATCTAGATATATCTAGATTTAGATCTAGAATCTAGATCTCTAGATGTAGATCTAGATCTATATTAGTTACTAAATATGGCCACCTTTATTCTCACCCGGAGTGAGAATAGTGCAGGCGAGTCTTGTGGCTATTCTCACCCGGTGCGCGTTCACCAAATTTTGCGTTCACCCTAAACCATAGAATTCTACACTGTGAGGAAAAATTGTAGAATTCTGTGCCGTGAACAAACGTTCCATTACAACTGTAGCCTACTAAAAGCGTACAATTTTGTCTGTGGGCAGTGGAGAGAGAGAGAGAGAAAGAGAGAGAGGAGTAGCGCGAGAATTTCCGGGCAAAACAAAATGGCGACCCGCGTAGTTCGGCTCGATTCGAAAAGTTAAATAGCCGTAGCATCTTTTGTTTGTTTAGTATAGGGTTTTACGGCGCTCGCAACTGCATAGGTCATATGAGCGCGCGGGACACACCTAATATTTTTCAGTTGGTAGGAAATTTGGAATTTTGCCCGGGTGGCGGCCGAAGCCTACTCTTGTCGATTTTAGACCACCAAGGGATCTTTAACGTGCGCAACTTGCACACGGGCCCTCCGAGATTTTTCGCCCTTGTCCGAGAAGGCTAGGTGTAGATCTTTCCTACCAGAAGATCAGGGGTGTGGCAGAAAGACAGCAGTTAGGAGGAGCCAAGGAGTAGCAGTAGAAAGGCTGCAGAAAGAGCCAGGAGCCCAGAGGAGGGGGCAAAGGAGGTGAGGGGGTGGGGGCAGAAAGTGGAAATGAAAGTAGCCTACTAAAAGCGTACAATTTTGTCTGTGGGCAGTGGAGAGAGAGAGAGAGAAAGAGAGAGAGGAGTAGCGCGAGAATTTCCGGGCAAAACAAAATGGCGACCCGCGTAGTTCGGCTCGATTCGAAAAGTTAAATAGCCGTAGCATCTTTGTAGACAACCAAATTAATTTACTTTTGTGTTTTAACATCATTTTTTAACTTTGTTTTGGTCAATTTGATTGTCCACACCGATAGACAGTATTCAGAAAGAGACAGAGAGAGAAAGAAGAGGGGAGTAGTTCATCTTGCCAGAACTTCTGGGCGGGTGAGAATAGCCACTTTCACTAAATATATAACATTCATTTAATATGATCGTCACAATCACATTCCAGATCCCTCTCAATCAGAAAGAGAGAGAGAGAGGTCGGAACAGATAGATAGAGAGAGAGAGAGAGAGAGAGAGAGAGAGAGAGAGAGAGAGAGAGAGAGAGAGAGAGAGAGAGAGAGAGAAAAGATGATTTAAAAAAGAGAGAAAGAGGGATCAGAGAGAGAGATTGACTCTAATCAAATCATACCATTAATTTAATGATTAAAATGATTAGGCCTGAAACGAATGAACAAATAAAAAATGACAAGTAAATCTAGATCTACCTCAAACAGTAGGCCTACAAGATCTAGAATCTATGTGTCCCCTGTCCACAAAGAATGCGGAAGTCTCTCAGAGTCAATGTTGTTTCGAGACGGTCAGTCTTGTGAGGTTGTGATGGCCGCCATCATACCACGTCAAGCATTATCCCCCCCTTAACTCTGAACTCTGAACCCCATAGGTCAAGAGGGCACGAAGTAGGAGCTGGGCCATGACCCGATTCCCGTTATTATTTCCACGAAAAAAGAAAACCGAATCTCCTCACGCGAAACCTGGTGATTAATAATTAGTCTGTTCTGAAAAGATGTTTTTCTTTTCATCAGAATTTGAGGTTTATGCACGTGTGTATGTAACTTCAAAAAGTGATAATATTCTTCTGTTCCACACATAGGCATATAACGCGAGGTGTGTATCCTTATACGGGGTGCCCACTACGGCCGGATCGGACCGATTGCCCGACTCTGTCACCTGATACCCCAGAATTCTACACTCAGTCGGCCTATCCTATCTGTAATGAGCACCCCGTATTATGCACGACGTGTCGCGCCCAAATTTTCAGTCGCGTGCGGCAGTAGTGACAAAAGTGTCTCCTAATGCGCGACGCGACGCGTCGAAGTCACGCGCGACTAGCAGTTCACGCCAGAAAGACAGTAGAAAGTTATCTTTTGCACTTACCCAATTGAGCCTTGCCTTCACACACACACACACACACACACACACACACACACACACACACACACACACACACACACACGGCGTGTCCACTGGCAGTCCTTGGCTTGATATTTTGGTCATGGGGATGCTTTAAACCTGCCACAGTCTGTCGTACGCGACCGAGACCCTCGATCAATATATGGACCAATCGGGCGCGACAGTGGCGCGTGACTAAACGTTGCGTCGCGTGGAAAGAGACAGTTTCTTTATAATCTTACTCTTACTTGATTGAACAATGAACCTTCCTTGTAATGGAATAATCGGTACAAACGTACTTGACTATTTTGGACTCAAAGAAAAGAGAAAAAATAAAAATAAATTATATAAACAAATGTGCTGGAGAGACAATAATTTCAAAAGAAAAAATCTCAAAAACATTGCGGAAAAGCCAGACCGCAAAATTTTCTTTTGGCGTTTCCAGCAAACATATTATACTTCTTCAAACCACAATTCGGCCAATACTCAACTACTTTTGCGAAAAAAAATTCGAAACGAGGATCCTATACGATTTAACATCATGTGTAAACAAATCATAGATTTCCATAGGGCCTTCACAGGCCATTTATAGAATTCCGTGAAACAAATTAATAGCTTTTACTTCGTAGGCCTATAGGATATTTGCAACACACACGTTGATCAAACACACACTACAATACTACGTAAACACATGCCATCATAAAAAGTATAACAAATGAAGAGTGAACAGAAAAATAAGTGGAAATTATTGATCCAACTCAACTTCTTCACCCACCCGACACGATCATGCAAATCCGAATAAACTTTGTCAGACTGGCTTGACAAAGGTGCACTGCATTTAAGCCTATGTTGCATAATTGCGGGGCTTGGCAGTTAAAAAAGGGTGGTGTGTTGTGTATCACTATCACTGACAGCCGTGTGTACAGTTGCTTGCACCTGGCACCTCTCTGACTGGTTATTCTACTTAGTAGAGAGAACCCATTTCATGCTTTTGCAAGTTCGTTAATTTGGCTGAAAGAGCGATTTTAAAAAAACGTCGCCATGTCGTTCTATCGTAACGCTGTGTGGTTCGTAAAAGGACTCAATGAGTATACAAAGTAAGAAAATATTTTTACTTTTGACCATCTTTAATCTAATCTACTCACTAGATCTATCTAGATCTAGATCTAGATCTAAATCTAGATATCTTAGATCTAGAGATCTAGAGAGTTATCATTTAGGATTCCAGGTATAGATTATTTTCTTAAGATTTATATAATTAAAATCACTCGTCTAACTAAACGTAGCAGAGGTACAGGGTAGGCTACCCAATCTTTTTACAAAGGCAAAGGATACTCAATCTCATTCCCGGCACCCGGTCTCAGGCTTTCCGAGCTCTTTAAAAGCACTCAGACTCAGAGTCTGAATAGCTAGGCTTGCTTCTGGGAGCAGCATTTCACATTTGATGAATTCAGGTTGTTACTTGTAACCCAGCGTCACTCCCATGCACCCCCTACCCAAACCCTAAAGGCCTACCCTTAGCCTAAGCCTAAACAAATATTCATTACCCTAATCCAACAAACGTGAATGAATAAAAGGTGCTAATATCTGGAAGATTGCTGCAATATTACTGGTTTGCAATTCCTAAGGGCTAATAAAGACACTGCGAGGCCTACTATAAGTATTATTAGGCCTACTGTTATTGAGATAGTTCGAGGGCTGTTATATAATAAGACTCAAACTACTATTCTTTATTCAGATTTTTATGAACGGACAAGAGTTTCAAATGCAGCTGGAAAATTCTTAACCCTCTAGTAGAAAGACATCTGCCGGATGCGCCACCTAAGGAGAGCCATCAACAAAACCAGGCATGACATGATTGGAAACCCCAAGATCAGAGAAATGATGGGAACAACCCCTATCCTCCACTTTACTCATTTAGAGGCTAATAGAACATAGTGGTTTGACATCTGACAACTTCCCAGTAAAGCGAACTACAAAAGAGTCAGGGTAAAAGTACAAGGCAAAAGGAAGACCTGGATCGAGGGTGTGAAGGACACCCTTAAGACGCACAACATCCCACCCAGCCTGGCTGTTCAGTTCTCCCCTCAACGCCCTAGAGGTACAAGAGGAAGGATTTATTTAAAACAAAAGATATTTTTGAATTTATTTTATTTCATTTTCTCATTCAGATCTGGGTACCTGTCAGCAAGCAAACGCTTCGACCCAGCTGATCTTGATGTAAACATCAGCAACAGAAGCTTCATGATCACAGGAGCCAACAGCGGACTGGGAAGGAGTGCAGCTCTCACTATCGCCAAAAAAGGTGAGGGCATTTGAACAACGTTTTGAGATGAGAATTTTTTTGTAAATGGTTTTATTCGGCTGCTGATTTGTAAAAAAAATTGCTGCTGTTGGGCATTTATGTTCAGGACTCAGTAAAGGGGCCCAACAGCCTACGAAGTAAGAAAAACGGTACATAAAAATCAGTTGTACTACAGGTTGAAAAACCAGCAGTCGACTGCCGTACCTTTGAGATTCAGTAGGGGAATACATGTAGAGAAGAAGAAGAGTACCGTACTGTCAACAAACCTGCTTTAACGATCACCTGTCCAAGACAACCACCTGTACAAATGACCATTATTCCTACTTCCCGCCTTTCATTGTATTATAATGGCACTACCTGTGTTTCCAAGACACAGTCTAAGACATCCACCTGTCTAAGGCAACATTTCTCCTCAACTATGGATGACCCCTTAGACAGCTTTGACGATACTTCAACACCTGTGGTTTGACCATCTCCAAAAATGACGTACCTTCTTCAATGACCATATAATTTGCTTTTATACTTTTATATAGACCATTTCTCTGGAATAATGTACGATTGTTGTAAAATGAAAAAGAGGAAATGATCCTGATTAAATTATTGGCTCCTGTTGATTATTTGATAGATTCTGGGCCTGCCACATAATATTTTTAATTGGTGTGCTTGGTTACTTTATTTAGGGAACCTTGTCTTTCAAATGCAGACTGAAAAATTCTTTACACCTCTAGAGGGTGATCATCTGTATAGATCACACATTGAGATGTCTGTTATTCTTCCACAGGTGCGACAGTACATATGGTGTGTCGTAACAAAGAGAGAGGAGAAGCAGCACAGGAGGAACTTAAGCAAGAGTCTGGAAATCAGGTTAGTTAACAACAGATCTGTAAAAATATATTGATTTTCAGAGGGCTTAAATTGAATGAAAGATAAAAATAGTTTGAATCTTACTGATCTTTATCGCCATTTACTCAGAGAAAAGTCCCCCCAGAATTAAATGACTGTTATTGTTTAATCTGCTTTTCTACTTTATTTAAAATAAAATCAAAACGCTCAACTAAATGGTAGTGAAAATGGCTCCTCCTATGGTTCCTTTTGTGAGACGTTTAGGATGTTGCCGCGGAGCCCATGGCAATCAACAACATGATGCGTCATGGGTCTTTATGTTCCGCTATTTAGTGGATTTCCGCTACCATCATTTCCTCCGCTAAGCTCAGTTACCGCGACAGAGAGCCAATCAGAAAATTTTTCCAGGTAGTTGTTGCTTGGAGGGGCACCTCACAGTAATGTACCACCACTTTCTGTACATAACCAAGATTGCAAATATTTGGTAAGTGACGTAACTAAAAAATTATCTTCCAAACCCTCAAATTGGTATGAAATAACCTTGCTTTGATAAATTGGTAGTTGTTATTTCAGCATTCTAGGGTTAAACGGTACAATAAAAATGGGTGTCTCGTGAAAATGGTCTTCTGTCATGATCATGGATAAAGTTCTTCCTTTTTTAAAATTGTAAGTTGAGACCCATGATGCATGCAAGAGTAGATATTGTTCTGTCACAACAGACAAGTACAGTCAAAACTATGTAAGACGGTTACCCATTGTCAAGGAGCAAAGTCGCCGTCTTAGATTGGTGACCCCCTCACAGTGTCAATATAATGTAGAAGATACGACGCAAGGGAGGAAATGGATAATGGTCATTTGTCCAGGTGATTGTCTTATACAGAGGTGACCATTAGAGCAGGTTCAGCTGTATTACAGTTGGGGATTGAGTTAAACAAGACCTATATATATCACAATCATTTTTTTGTTTGTTTTCAGAATATTCATCTTCACCTTGTGGACATGTCTAAACCGAGAGATGTTATAAGATTCTCAGAAACTTTCAAAAGTGAAGGTCAACCCCTGAATGTCTTGGTAAAGTCTTTTTTTTACTGCTTTAGATTTCAATTTGTTTTTTGTGTCATGAAAAACAGAAGAAACTGGCAGAAAGAATTAATGCAAAGAACTAATAAGTATCTTCTTATCTTGTCTTTTTTTATCATATCTTCTTTGAGACCCCTGAATTCTCCGGTAGTGTTTAGTCTTTCTCAGCATCTGCTGTTGTGAGTTTGTCAAGTTTTGTGGGCCTGATAGTTTAATGCTATGTCAATATGCAGCATCTACAGAGGTGAGGTCAAATGTTTTGTTTTTATTTAATTTTGTACTAGCGTATATTATGTGCAGTAAAGCGCTTTGCTGTCACAAACAGAAATCTCAAAGTTCAATTCCTGTGGGGAGAAATTTTATTTCAGAGTATCTGTCTTTCCATTGTGTCTTTATTGTGTCCTTCTTAGCCTGGGTTGGCCTTGGCAGGCACTGATGAGCCCGCCTCCTAAAAATAATCCAGACTGTGTTGATGGAGGTGTTACAACTTGCACATTTTTTGGGTTAGGTTTTTTTTCCCTTATTGTGCATTTATTTTTGTATTTTATGGCACCTGAATACAAATCATGGAGCAGATAGGTTCTGTTATCAATTCTGTATCCATGCTCTGACAGCTAATAATTTGTTGTTAGATGCTTCATTGTTCAAGGTAAAGATTTAGAAATTGTTGGGGATGGTGGAGGAAATGAGAAAATAAAATGTTTCTTAATTTTGCAAGTGTCTAGGGCTTCTTTATTCGTGTATAACCAATATTGTTGTAAGATGTATGCTGTTTGTACTTGTGTTTTCCGTTGCACTTATCTGTAATACTTTTCCTATCCACAGATCAATAATGCGGGTATTCTGGTAAACGAGGACAAGAGGCAGGTGACGGAGGATGGTTTGGAGTCAACTTTTGCCACAAATACACTGGGCACCCACCTGCTGACCATCCACTTGTTGCCTGTGCTGGAGCAAGCAGAAGATCCCAGAGTGGTAGGAGGGATTTTGTGATCAATATCTTTGTAGCTGACAGTTGATTTTTTTGAACTTGTTAGATGAATGTTGTGTACTTGTAGACAGTTGACTAAACCATAAGTAGATAGATGGGTGACAATAGGGTATTTGTTAGCTGACTATTAACTCCTGTTTACTTGTTGACAGTTGACTAAAGTGATGTGGAGTTTTGAACTGTGGGTGGTTGCTGAATTATCATCTTCACAGAATATTAGCTTTTGTTCCTCATTTGATATAAAATTTCTTAGAGTGGGTAGAGTATTTTTTCATATTTTTTGTCAAATATTTTGTGACATCATTTTTAGGTGAAAGATATTTTTGAAAAAGAGGGTAACTTGCCTCGTTTAATATCATGCTGTATTTTCTATGAACAGGTCATTGTTACATCTGGTGGAATGCTTTTGCAAAAACTTGACCTAAGTGACCTCCAGTTTGAGAAAATGTCCAAGTTTGATGGTGCTATGGCATACAGTCAGACCAAGAGACAGCAAGTGGTGATGACAGCTCAGTATGCAAAGACGTATCCTAAGGTCCACTTTTCATGTCCGCATCCTGGATGGTCAAGCACTCCAGGTCAAAACTGGTTCCAATTTTTTTTTATACTGCCATAAAACATTAACACAAACTAAAACACAAAACTGACTATGAATTATGTTGATAGTCATCATCATTATTGTCTGTTTTAGCCTGGATTGGGGTAAAGGCCATGACTTAACTCTTTTCACCATTCCCTTTCAAGGGCTAGCCTCTTGATTTCCACTCTTTTGTGCATCATTCTCTGTGGCTCTTTTCCAAGTTCCATGTGTCGTTCCCCTTGATTTGTGTCCCTGTGGATTCTAAAGCTGCCTGGCTTCCAGAGAGAGTGTCCAATCCATCACCAGGCTCTGTCTTGTTTTCTCTTTTGGGATCCTGTCTGTCCATTTGATCCTGAATAACTTTCTCAGAACTTGTTCAAGAAAACATGGATCTTCTTTATGCAAGACTGAGATGCCTTCCTTGTCGCATTTACATACAACAAGATTGACTTCACATTTGAGGTGAAAATTCTCTGCTTTGTTCGCAGCAAGATATTCCTAGTGGTCCAAATCTTATTCACAGATATGAAAGCAGCCTGTGCCTTTCTGATGAGGGACTAAATTTCAGCACCTGTTCCTCCCTTTCTGTCAAACATATTCCCAAGAAGGATTCAATGTCTTATGTAGCATTTCCTTCTCAACTGGTCAACAAAGAGCGGAGAGCCGGAGAGCTCTAATTTTATCGCAGTGTTTGACAGATCTGCAATAGTAAACACTTATTTTGTATTAAAGAACTGATAATTCTCAAGAAACTTGGAGAAAATTTCATTTCGTAAGTTGTATATTTTCTGAAAGGTAATTGAATGAAAGGATCAGTTGGGCTAGGCAAAATAGTAACTTTTCTTTCAAAATCATTTTTGTTTTTTATGAAAGTAACATATTGCAAGTTGACATTATTGAGGCTTAGAAGATTTCATCACAATTGTCTACTTCAATCTTTTTCAGGTGTCCAATCTTCTCTCCCTGATTTCTACGAGAGATTTCAGAACAAACTGCGATCGGAGGAAGCAGGAGCAGACACCATTGTCTGGCTGGCGATCTCACCAGCAGCCACAAAACAGCTTAGTGGACTTTTTTTTCAAGGTAAGTCTAATTTACTACTGTGGGTTTTTTTTCTTTTTTCTGTGTATCATCTCAGCTCTCTCTTTCTGTATCTCTATTGCAGTTTTTCTCAGTTGTTCCTTCTCTTTTTTTCCCTCAATTACATCCCTCCCTCATTTAAACTTTCAACTCTCTCCTTCTCTCTCTCTCTCTCTCTCTCTCTCTCTCTCTCTCTCTCTCTCTCTCTCTCTCTCTCTCTCC